ATGAAAACAAAGTAGAAATGAAAACTGACTCACAGAAAGAAAATCAAGATACTGAAGTTTCATATCTGGACTCTGACATAAATGTAGTTAATAAGTTTAGGACAAGAGACTATATAATAAAGAATTCCAGTACAGAATGGAAACTGAACAAAACAAAAAAATATAAAAATAAGAATAGATTTACCACCTTATTGAACTCAGTCAAAGAAGGATAAATTAACTGAACGATAGGTCAATGACAACTAGGCTAATGCACAGTAAGAAAAATGATGAAGATTTGAAAAAATAAATAACAGACACATAGGAGGACATGGTAAAAACATCTAGTATAAGTGTATTTGTAGTACAAAAAAGAGTAGACGCATAATTAGAAAAAAGCAATATATAAAGAAATAACAGCCAAAAGTTTTCCAAAACTGGGAAAAAACACTGACTACATGTTGATGGAGTGCTACAAACCCCAAGCAGGATAAAAGAAAATTACACTTAGGCGTATACTACTAAAACTGTCAAAGAAAAGAAAATCCTAATAGCAGCCAGGGGGAGGGTAAGTAGAAGGGGGAAGGACATCTTATTGCCTTCAAAAGAGCAACAATAAGACTGATGTAAGCCAGATAAGAATGCAATGAACTGTCTTCAAAATGCTAAACAAAAAATAGCAGCTAGGAATTCTACAATAAAACATTATCTTTCAATAATGAAAGTGAAGAGATTCAGAATATACCACTGTGAAGAGTCTTTTTCTAAACTGCCCTTATCTGTTTAAAAGCAGAGGCCCCCAAATGAATTCAACTGCCATAAAGCCCTTCCCAGGGAGTTTCATAACTAGGAAAGATTGGCTCCTACCAACTAAGATGAGAAGTTAGCACTGGGATAAGAAATCACTTAAACAGGCATGTCACAAAACTATTATACCTACCATTTATTCTCCTAAAGTCCCGTTTATCTTTCCTAACAGTCATTTGTTTACTGCCAAGTGCCCTTCAAACCATCCCCTTTACCCTATTAGGATGGCATATAAGTCCCAAATTTAACCACCTCCTTAAGTCACATTTTTCTATAAACTCCTGCTTACTTATAAGAGGGTACTTCAAAAAGTTCATGGAAAATGGAATTAAAGAATAATGGAACTATTTCCATAAACTTTTTGAAGCACCCTCATATATGACTAAAAATCTTTCTTTACTCTCCCTAATCTGTCTTTTCTCAGTTTAATTCATAGGCTTTCAAACACTAACCTAAGAGAGTATAGAAAAGGTTTTGCCTCACCAATAAAAGAAAAATAAGGATATTTTATGACAAACAAAACAGAATTTGCCACTAGCCAACACACATTGTTCAGACAGTTGATACAAGTTGAGGGGGAAAAAAAATACAAGCATCGGAAATGGCAAACATGTATTTAAGTCACAAAGCTATTAATAGATACAATAAATCCCAATCAAAAATCCTAGCAGGTCTTTCTGTGGAATTTGATGAGTTGATTCTAAAAGCTATATGGAAATGTAAAGTACCAAGAATAGCTGAGACACTCTTGAAGAAGGGGAATAGGAAGTATGAGGGTGATGGTGATGATGATGATAAAGGACTTATACTATAAAATAGAAAGACTTATTATAAAGACACCATGATTAGGACAGATGAACAGACCAATGGAAAAGAAGAGAATATCCACAGACCCATATATATATGGTCACCTGATTTATCACAAAGGTACTTCTGCAATGAGTAAGATAAAGATGATCTTTTTCAATAACTGGTCCTAGATCAATCACATGATGTTCATATGGACAGAACTAACCTTGACTTCTATCTCAAACCATACAAACAAATCAATCCCAAATGAATCACGGATAAGACCTAACCCCTTCTAGAAACATACATATACAAAAATCCTATAGATTATATTTAACAGATACCAACAGGGAAAAATAATTTTTAACTACTCTTTAATAAAGCATTAAAAGAATACATTTTAAATATTTTTTAATTTTTAAAAAATATGTAAAAAAAATTTAAGAATTGAATTTAGAAAGGTCACTGGATTGAAGTACTAAAATTATTTTTAAAATTTACACAGCACAAGTGGCTAAACTGACACTAGAAAACAGCCACATAGAAGTTAGACCTGGCCCTGCAGCGTCAACTTGCACCGAGCAGGTAGGACTTGCCGCCACCAGACCCCATCCCTAGCCCAGCAGAGTGCACACCGACCAGAGTCAGCCCAAGAGAAAGGCCCAAGTCCCACAGAGATGATGCGCCCTGCGGCGCCAGCATGTGACCAAGCAGGTAGGCCTTGCAGCTGCCAGAACCAATCCGAGCCCGACCAAGTGTGTACCAAACAGACAGGCACCCCACCAGAGAGGCCAAAGTCCCAAGGAGACCACGCTCCCCACAGTGCTAACGTGTGACTGAGCAGGTAGGCCTCACCCCCGCTAGACCCCAGCCCCAGCCAACCCAAGTGCACGCCAATCAGAGAGGCATCCCGACGGAGAGGCCCGAGTCCCAAATCCCAAGGAGACCACACACCAAGTGGTGCCAGCCAGCGTGCGACTCAGCAGGAAGGCCTCACCACTGCTGGACCCCATCCCCAGCCCGGCTGAGTGTGTACCACCCAGAGAGTTGCCTCCATGGAGAGGCCTGAGACCCGAGGCGACCACACCCCTGAGGTGGCAGTGGGCAACTGAGCAGACACTGAGGCAGCCATATCAAATTGGCAGCCCCCAGCAGAATCCTCGCCAGACAATAGTGTCAAACCAGTGGACCATGAAATCCCTTGTCACAATGACTAAACATCAAAGAAAAGATACCAGAAATATGAAAAATCTAGAAAGTACACCATCAAAGGCTAATAACTCTCAAGCTCTAGATCCTATAGAACAAGAAGCCCTTGAAATTTCTGACAAGGAATTTCAAGTAATGATTCTAAGGAAACTAAATGAGATACAAGAAAACTCAGCTAGACAACATGATGAAATGAGGAAAAGTATACAGGACGTGAAAGAAGAAATGTACAAGTAACTCAATGCCCTGAAAAAGAATGTAGCAGAGCTTGTCAAGCTGAAGAATTCATTCAACGAAATAAAAAACACAACAGAGAGTTTAACCAGCAGGCATACAGAAGCAGAAGAGAGAACTTCTGACCTTGAAAATGGGCTGTTTGAAATAACAAAGGCAAACAAAAAAAAAAAAAAAAAGAAAAAAGAAGTAAAAACACTGAAGAAAATCTAAGAGAGATATCAGACAACCTTAAGCGCTCAAATATCTGAGTCATGGGTATTCCAGAAGGGGAGG